TAAATTATATTTGCATGCATAGTGTTCATCCCAATGCCCACATCACATTATTCAACATTCCAATCCATAATTCATCATTCCAATCCCCTATAAAAGAACAAATGGCTGAATAAATAGATTCTGAATAATGGATGAAGAAAGACCATAATGGTTTATTCTGCAGTGTGCAAACGGGAAGCAGGGTGAGAGGGCTAAGATAAGATATTTTGCAGCTGCTGCAATTACTGCTCAAGCAGAGAGCGAGAGAGAAGAAAGAGAGAGACGGAAATAATTATAGGGAGCAACAGAGTTTTTAAAATATGAAATAGTTCCTGTAACCATCAGATATTTCACTACTGAATGTCTGGTCAACTAGCAATTTTCACATTTCTAAAGGTTATATTGTTCAAACTGTTCAAACGTTACTAAAAAAAATTCTCATTTGCTCAAATGCAAATACACTTCAAAGAGGAGAAACAAAAAAGTAATATCACTAGCTTGTTTAGCTTGCTTCTGGGACCTGATAGGTGCTAGAGACCCCTTTATCCAACACCTAAAATACTTATTTATGAGCTATTTATTAATCTTAGAAATATATTTTTATGATGACCCCTAGAAATGTACTTATTTTGTGTATTCATTCATCAGTCAGCATTTAGCAAACTGCTGCCATATGTCAGACTTGTGCTAGGGACTAAGGCCACAGAGATGAAAAAAATGCAGTCCCACCCATGCAGAAACTGCAGTCAAAGAAAAGGTCAGATAAGTCAAGCCAATAATGCCTAGTCCATGATGAGCAAAAATGCATGACCACTGATGACTATACTAGAGTATTTTATTACTAGGTTCTAGGTTAGAGGAGAACAGCTGTGGGAGCACCAAGAAGGGGGAACTCACATAGATGGGAGTGGGTGGTTCAAGGGGAAGGAGTTAGGGAGGATAGCATGGGGAGGTGCTACTAAGCTGCATCTAGAAGGACAAGGAGGTGACAGGCACGCACAGTAGCCAAGGCCTCTCTGTCACACTTGAATGATGGTATCTCATTTCCAATACTGGAAAGAATATTGAGGTTACCAATGGGTTGCTGGCATTGCCCAGGATGTTGGACCTCATGATTATGAACACTGTGATATCTTCCATCCTCAGGGAATCTATGGGGATGGCTCTCACTCACACGCCTTGCTGAGATCTTTATTCAATGTTTAAATCTATTAAAATTCTTCATTCCTGGATCTATATGTTTGGCAAAAGACTATACATATTGACTATATCTATATGTTTGACAAAAGACTATCCTAACTGCTGGACAAAAAAAAAGTTATTACTCATTTTTTCTTTATGAATGAATTGAAGAAAATACATTAAGAAATCTACCAGAGCTGGGATGGTATTCATCAGTTCAGACTAGAATTTCTACTGTGCTAAAAGGCTGGTAGAAAAGCCACAGCTCCTAGATCTCAGTAGGACATTATCACTGGTATCTCATTTGATTCCTGGACAACGAGAAAATCATATCCATAAGAGTACAAGCACCTGCTCTCTAGGAGCTTACAATCTATTTGGGAGATAAGAAAAATACACATAAAATTATAACTTAAAATGCACAGAAGTAAATGTTAAGTGCCCGTATATGTAACAGAAGCTCTCATGAGTAAGAAATAGAGCAGTTATTTTCTTTTTAAGAATAGATAGGAGGATGAATCTGGAAGACACTGTCCTAAGTGGAATGAGACATGAAAAGTAAAATACTGCATGATCTCACTAACATGCAGAATCTTTTTAAGAAAGTGAAATATGCAAAGACTGAGAATAAAACCGTGGTTACCAGGGGCAGGGTGGCAGAGAAGAAAAGAACAAGGCCTGAAGGAGGATGATGCAAATATCTGGAGGAAAAGTTCCAGGCAAAAGGAACAGCCAGTAAAAAAGATAGGAGAGCAACAGAAAAGCAGGCACAGGATTGAAGGGTCATCACTAACAGGCCCGTGTACTTTCTATCTTCCAGATAAAAAATAGAGAAGACTAGTAACACACATGAGATAAATCCCCTCTCTGGCCTTAGCCAGGAAATCTCACAGGACAGAGGTATTTGCAATCAGGTCTCTGATCTTGAGAGACATGTATTTTAGGTATGCTGGTTACATTAGGTTGAGTTTAGTGTCCTGTCTCCCAAATTCATGGCCATCCAGAGCCTCAGAATATGGCCTGACTTGAATGTTTGCAGATATAATTAAAGACCTCAATATGAAATCAACCTGGCTTTAGTGTGAAACCTAAGTCCAATGACTAGTGCCCTAATAAGAGGAGGCAACACAGTCAGGTACAAAGAAGAAGGGGATATGAAACGGAGGCACAAATTAGATGGCTGTGTCTCAAAGTCAAGCCTCCAAGAGGCACCAACCCTCCTCACACACACCTTGATTTCAGACTTCTGGCCTCATGAATGGTGAGAGAATAAATCCCTATTGTTTCAAGCTATCCAGTTTGTGAAAAATTATTCAGCTAGAAAACTAATATATCAGTTGTGTGGATTTGGTCACACTTATAACCGCTTTTTTTGTGATCAATCAATGTGTAGTGGACATTTGCATTTATGTTCCTAGAATGTACTCCCCATTTTGTGGTTTAAAAACATGTTGGATTTGCTCTGGGGAAGCCCCTTTTATTCCGTCTGTTTCCCCCAGACCCGGTCTATGTGTTTTCAATGACATTGACTCAACCTCTAGTTCTAGGGACATATAACATAGAACAAAGTAGATGGGCACATTTTATCGCACTGATATTAGGGATCATTTCCAGCTAATGAGGCAAAAATTGTATTTTTAGCTATTAGAAGGATATCATTTTTATTCCCATTGAATTTGAATCTGAGAGGCTGGGGTTGCTGCCAGCACTCTGCCATGGCACAGCACTTGAGACTCCAGTGAATACTGGAAAGAAGAGCTGAGAGGTTACAAGAAATCAGGTCCTGGGGGAGTCACTTGACCTACAAATCTCACTGAGCCTAAAGCCCTGCCTGTCCCCAACTCCTAATGAGTCAATAAATTGTCTTTTTATTTTGAGGTGAGTCTCCTAAAATATTCAATCATAAGATTCCTGAAAAAGTAGACTCCAGCTTGGTTTATCATCTTCATTATTTTGGCTACTAAGAAAAATAAAGTGTATACATCACTTACATCAAAACTGGCAACGTGTTGAATATAAAGTCCAGCTGCTCACCTTGTATCTCAGTGTCCCCCGCAACAAAGTGTGAGCAGAAGAAATGCCATAAATCTCAGCATATTTCGTACTGTCTCTGTTAGGATAGCCTTCCAAATTTAATCCTGGGAAAAAATCCATGGACGTCACGGCATCAAGAAAGGAGATGCCCCCTGCAACATTCACAACCTGAGGAACATTGAGAAGGCATAAGTGGGGTTAAGAGCCATTCCTTTCTGTTAGGAATTATCTGCTTCGTGTGAACAGAGAAAGCAATAGAAATTTGAAAAAAAAATAATGAAACCACCATAGTCATCATCCTATACTTAAGCTGTTCTACTAATGTCATAATTCACAATGCAATTCTTCTTTCAAGCTTTAAAATTTCACTTTAAAGCGTTTAGTTTTTCTAAACATAGTCTTATTTTCATTTTTTTCCTTCCCCTGGATAAAATGGCACTAAATTATTTCCCACTAGAGTTTGCCTTTTTTAAAAAATATAAACATTTAAAAAAAAAAGAATTTTAAACATTTTTAATTTTTATTTTTTTAATGTTTAAATGATTAAAAATAAACATTATTTTACGTAAAGTATTTTATATAAAAATGTTTAATAAACTTAAAAAGATAAGCTAAAAGCAACAGATAATTGTTTAAATGGCTTCTATGTTCAAACAGCAATCAATATTCTCACTCTTTTCTTTTTTCTACTTTTACGACCTTTCTGAATGCCACATTAGGCACCAGTTGCATACATTTCATCCATACAGCTAACGTTCAAGAGCAGAAGAAAGTGATCCATGTGTCACGGGTTACACAAATTGTGAAGGCAATAACATGAGTGATGAAGTAAAAATCTTTTGATATCTCAGTACTTATCTCCCATACCCCTACCCCCATCACACAGACTCAAAATGAAATACAGGATTTCTTTGTCTCTAATTTTAAAGAACTAAATTTTCTTTTCGTTTATGAGGCTTATTATTATTGTTGAGATAATGGAAAGCATTCTGGAGCGATAAAATTAGGTCTGAGAATTCTGGTTGGTGCTGCTGGTGGAACTGAATTTTATCTTTATTGTACACTGGAAACAATTTCTGATCAATTTCTCTGTAGTCTTGTAGCATAGTTTGAAGTCAGGTAGCATGATGCCTGACCAATTTCTCTAAAGCTGAACAAAATAACACTGTACCAGGGAGCTGCCAATATACTTTAAGGTGGATTCACAGGATTTCCTGAAGAGGTCTTTGGCTAAACTTAATGATTCTCATGCCTTACTTGGAGAGTGCCAAGCACTCTCTCCAAATTTAAAATTTTTAGAGTGAAAATCTAAATGAAGGATGTAAGGAATGCCTTTCATTTAATTTTCTTGTGAACCCTTCTAGACTGCAGAGTAAACATTTCCAAAGGGATGGTTTTTGCTCTACATCTTGAAAACGAATTTATTTAATATAATTCTAAATTTTTGAAAAAATCTAAGAAAGCAAATGTTGGACATGGTGATGCACACCTGTAATCCCAGCTACTTGGCTTGGGAGGCTAAGGCAGGAGGATGGCTTGAGCCCAGGAGTTTGAGAATAGCCTGAGCAACATAGCAAGATACCATCTCTTAAAAAACAAAAAAGCAAATGTTGGCCTTTAGGGTCTTCACACTCATCTCATTTCTATAATCTATGACAATTCTTAAGGTTTGTTTGCTTGTTTGAAGGTCAGGAAAATTTCTTAAAGAAAAATCCAATAAAGATCACAATATTCTAACTTATCAACCAGAAATAAAACAGCTAGTTCATAAATTTATCATGAAAATCTTACATTGAAGATGGAGAAATGTAAGCTGAATGACAATAATTCATGTAGTGAGGTTGGCAGTTGGCTAAGCAAACTGACCCCAAAATTACTGGGTAATCATTGTCATTTGATATTAATTCATAGTTGTATTTGTAGTGGTATATCATATAGTTCAATAATAAATTCTTTCTTGTTTAATATTTTATTAATAATATGATTGAAGACAGAAAGACATATTTGCCTGTTTTGCAGAGAACATGCATTTCTTTCTGCTCTCATAACGCTCAGGCTTATTACTCACTGCTTTTGCAAGCTTCTCTAGGTCCTACTCTTTCACACACACAGAGACCAACACAAATATACATCTCCCAACTATAGCGAATCACTGCTATATTTGAATAAGTATATCATATATATTCAAATAATCACAGTAAACTTGATCATTAAATGAATAAAGAAATATACAATCATTTCTTCAGGGCCCACTATGTGCCCAGGGCCTTATAGACATTATATTTAATCCATGAAATAACCCATTTTTCAGAGGTGAAAACTGAGGCTGAGTCACCCAAAGGCAAATCTGAACCCAGTTCTATTTGACTGCAATGTCTGTGTTTCTTCTACTAAACTGTCCCCTTAATCATGCTTATTTCTGGATCAATATTTTGAAAGAGATATTGACAAAGAATAGCATTCCAGATTATGCCACCTGGGGTGCACCTGAAATGTGCATGAATAATGGGTACAGGCAAAGGGAGATAGTGGTAGCTCTTGATTTCCAAGGGGCTGGGTGCTGCAGTCAAGCTGGTGGCAGGCTAGATAAGAGGGCTAGAAAACTTATCTGAAAACTATGTTTGCAGAGCAAGCATGCTTCTCACTTAGACTATATGTTTTGCCAGGTTAGACTGGGAAACATTGCAGAAGGTGATGGGAAAACTCTGCCATGTCACTCCCAAATGCCACCAGTGTGAGTAAGTATACCACCACTTGTAAGGGGAATTCAACTAAGAGAAGATGACATCACCATCTCTGAATACGTGGAAGAAAATCAGAATTGTTAGGAATCAGATTAGAAGTTAGAAATAGAACAAGTTGCTAGTAATTACTGCAAAGATGAAAGATAATGAGATATGTCCTAATTCATAGGCCACTGTCCAATTTCTGGAAAAGTTTAAGGCTTTAATTTTAAGTAAAAGTCCAGAGAGGTGACTTGTTTTCCCCCACTGTGATTCTGTGAATCATTTAAGACCTGCTTCATAGTGGAGGGTAATGATGGCAGAGGGAGTGAAGGGCAAGAATATAAGAGAGGTTTTAAGTTGTTTAACAATCTGGCTTAGGAAACAGACTGATATACAGCACTTGAATTACAGAATGAATAATGCAGTACCTAGAAAATTCTTAGACACAGACAAACAAAGTGTCTGACACTTTGATTCAGTTCAGACAAAATAATAGTGAACAGAGGCTGGAGTGGTCACGAAAAGCTTCATCCACAAGAAAAAACACAAGTGGGACCTTGAACAAAAGTATCATTTAAGCAAAGAAAAGAAAAGTGTCATGTTTTCTTTTGGTATCCTCCACAGCGCCAGAGCGATGCAAAAAGCACTCCTTTTTACAAAATAAATTTAGGATGAGAGAGGAGAACTTCAAATTCAACAAATACAACTTTGGCTACCTGAAAATAACCTCTTGCTTTTCTTAAACTCTCACAACCATAATTTCCTTATATAGCTAATATTTGCTAGATGGATTACATGCCTGGCAATCTGCTGTTAGGCAGATTGCAATCTAAATAACCTCACTGAGTAAGAACGCCGGAAGCTAGCATGATTGTCCTTCTCTTCAGACGAGGAACCCACAGCTCACAACCAGCAATGGCAGAGCTAGAGCACAAAGCCAGGACCAGAGATATCAAGTTCCTCGCCCTTTCTTTTACATGGGTTGCAGTCCGCTGGCCCTTTCATTACTACCATGTTTAGCATTTATAAGGCCTCCTAAAAATAAGTGTTTTATTCAACTGAAGTAATAATTCATCCTGCCTTCACATGTTAATTATACCAAACATAGGCCAGTCTCTTAAGATTGCAAAAGGTAAAAGGAGCTGTTGGAATGCAGTAGGAGACAGGCTGAAGCACGTAAAAGGATGTGTGGTTGGCAAAACATCATCTTAGCAGACTAAGATTCTGCTCCAAACCTTCATGATTCATAAGATTGAAGAATTGGTGGAACATCAGTGCTCACATTACACATCAGGAAACTGACATCCCGTGGATCCTTTCAACCACCTGGTCTTTGGCTATGTTATGGTGAATGCCAGCAATTGGACCAGAACTCATTGATCCTGTTTATTATCCTGAAATATGTTATACATCATTAGCATCAAACTAAAGTTCCTGATTATTTAGTACTATTTTAAGTGCAACTACAGTTCTCTGATCATTAAATCAGTTGTTCTCAAATTCAGCTGCATACTAGAATCACTTCGAAGTTTTAAAAAATCTCCAAGCCCAGGAAAATCAGAATTTTAGGAGATGAGGCCCAGGCATCAATACTTTTTAAATTCCTTTTGTAATTCCAAGTTACGGCCAAGTATGAGTCATGCTCTGTATCATAGGCACAAAAGACGATGGCTAATAATGGCATTTACCTTGTTGCTTAAGAAATTCTTTCCTTCTACTCCTGAAATACATTTTGATTCATAGATACATTAACAATGTGTAATATTGATGCTAGAATAGTCTTTTTAAAACACATCTATCTGATCATATTATTCATCACTCCCGTAGGGCAAGGTGAGTGAGGTGCCTACAACACACAATTTGAAGACGCACTCTGAGTCTCGTTATATTTTTCTCCAAACTATGAGCATAAACTATTAGATAGATGTGATTTGGATACTGGCCGTGCCACTTGCCATGTTTTTAAGTGTAGCTGTTATCTTAACTCCCTAACCTGAGTTCTCCCCTTATAGACCTGTCATACCATGAATGCTAACATCCCTGCCTAGCTGGCACCTTCTTATCCTTCAAGGCCAAAGCACATCCTCTTTCTTCATTAGTTTTCCTTCTCCCCACCCTCCTTCCCCCAACCGCTTCACCAAGACCAATTAAACTGTCCTCCCACCTGTACCTCTGAAGCACTTCTAACATACTTTGGAAATTTTCCCATTAGATAATAGTCACTTATTCCCATGTCTGTCTTTCCAGCCATTAAGCAATCTGGCAAAGCACAAAAAAAGCCTTCAGAGTTAGACCTGGGTTTGAATCTCAGCCAAATAACCTTGGACATGCACGCTCTCTGAGCCACAGCTTTCTTATTGTAAAAATATGAAAATAATACTAAACTCAGAGAGTCCTTATGTTCTATTACATGGCAGCTGGGGAAGAAATTGTAGTTTCTTTCTCCAACACACCAAACCCTCCATTTCAAGAGCTAAACCCCATTCCCAATCTAGCTGTGAGTTTTCTGAGGTCACGGACTTCATTCTTGTGAGTCTCGAGAAACTTGCCCCAAGTCCAGCACATAGTAGGCACTCAGAAAATGTTTGTCATGTGGAAATAAATCAAGAGATAACCAGTGTTTACATATATAGAGAAGTGAATTTTTGAGTATCAGAAACAACTTGCAAGAAGGCCTGGGGCAGAATAAGCACAGGCTTTGAGGGAACAGCAAGGAGACTGTGCTAAACAGGAAAAAAATATGCACTGGGAAATACCACAAGAGGAGAGAACAGAGACAATCAGCATCGCCATTATTAAAGGGTTTGGAATCAGGGAGTATTTAGACTGTCTCAGGTGATTATTGCAGGTTGATATCACTATGCCTGGATGAGATTCCTCACCTTTCCATTGAGCAGATAGGTGGCAGGCTGCATTACGTTCATCAAAACTCCCACTGGACTCCAGCTAAATTTATATCTCAGTGGATTGTTTGAATGTTCAGGGGTAGGAAGTCCACCACAGTAGGAAATATATGATTCAATCTGTAAATTAAAGAAACCACAAATAAGGAATAATTCACAACACGTTAGAGAATATCTAAGTAATTAATTGAAGACAATGATATGAATGGAGTAAACTTGCTACAGTTTTTCATTCTTAAAATTACTAAGGCTTTCAAAAATACATCCTTAAAGCCACATGCCATTTGATTAAATAACAGTTGACTATATATATATATATTTTTTTAATCCTCTAAATAACATTTTGTTCAGTTAAAAATTCAACTATTAGTTCAATTCTGTTTGGTCAGTTCCTACTAATTTTTGTATTCAGATTATATATTTGCATATCTAAAATTTTAATTATATATTTGCATGTTTATAATATTCACATTATAATTTGAAAATACATAAATGAAATTCATATATTTGCATAAGTCATATATGCAAATATGATTTGAATACACACATATATACACACACACATTCAAAAAACCCAAAACACTTAATCTGAATCATGCCATTTACACCCAATAGTACCTTGTTATATGTAAAAGATACTTCATATCAACAGACTGCTAATACCCAAAGATCCTTCTCACTTTTAAAAGTCAAACCTTATTACAGAATCTTCGAGGTAGTCTAAAATTTGTATCAAGCCAAAATTTTATAGTAGCATCTGTTTCTCCAAAAATTGGCTGCTACCTAAGACTTTGACATTGTTTTCCTATATGGGTATTTCAGCAGTTATAAGATTTTATTTAAAATTTCTATTCAAAGAATGAGTTATAATATAGCAGCATCTTTAATCAGAGTTAAAGATTATTTCTGTACACAAGAAGTTAGACATTTTAATGTTTCCCTTTGGGTACAAATTGGGCTCACCGTGGCTCCCACTTCCTTGGCTTTATCTATTGTTTCCATTGCTAACATGTGATCCAGACCAGGGTCCAATCCCAATTCAGCAATAACTGTGATGCCAGCATCTTCCACACTGCAGCAGGTAGAAAGAGGAAAAAGAAAAACTTGGATATAAAATAAAAACAATGCCATGGATCCACTCAGTTTGTTTAAAATGATTAAAACTTACCTTTTTTCCAATTCTTTTAATGCTGGTGTGATGTAGCTTGCAGTGATCATGTTAACTTTGTTTGTGATGCAAGCCTTCGCCACAAGAGGGTGCAATACATACGGCAACAAGCTTAAAAACAGGAAGAAACTAATCAGAAACTTCCTTTTTCAACCCTACCTTCCAATGTACTTGAATTGTATTAAAGCTGAATCTTAAGGTACTGTCCTGATTAAATTATTCTCTCAGAAAAGGGAACACTTATACACTGTTGGTGGGAATGTAAATTAGTTCAGTTGCTATGGAGGGCAGTTCAGAGATTTCTCAAAGAGCTAAGAGTTGAACTATCATTTGACCTAGCAATTGCATTACTGGTATTTATTCAAAGGAAATAATTCATTCTACCAAAAAGACACATGCACTTACATGTTCATCACAGCACTATTCACAGTAACAAAGACATGGAATCAACTGACATGCCCATTAATAGTGGATTGACAATGGGTGCTGTGGCTCATCCCTGTAATCCCAGCACTTTGGGAGGCCAAAGGCAGGTGGATTGCTTGGGCATAGGAGTCAAGACCAGCCTGGGCAACATGATGAAACCTTATCTCTACAAAAAATACAAAAACTAGTCCAGCATGTTGGCACATGCCTGTAGTCCCAGCTACTCCAGAGACTGGAGTGTATCAGGTGTCAATGTAAAGGCTATCAAAATGGCTAAAAATCCACATGGCAAACAACAGATGATGCTGTACTCAAAGCTAAGCTTTGATTGGCTTTTCAACAAATTTGGCTTTGGTATTATAATTTGGTGCTGGGACTGCATAATCATAAGAAATTAAATTTTCATAAATATGAGTGTTATATAAGTGAGTATATCCATATTCTGTTCTAGGAACAATAAAATACCCTGTCAATTACATGACAATATTTAAGTTGTTTCTTATTGCCTATTTGGTAAAGCTGTCTACAATACCAACAAAAAAAAATAAAAATCAATATAAACAATATCACACTGTATCATTGTACTTGTCAAATTCATTCTACATATTTCATATTTTCTCTAGATCACTAAAAACAAAATAAACAGTAAAACAACTTTTCAGGCATTTATTCCTCCTCAGGTCAATAGAATCAGGTATTGCTATTGTCAGTATCAAGAGCTCCAGGTCTCTGTGTTTTTGGAATTTTAATCCAAAAAGAATTACTGCTAACAAATTTGGTAGACTTTTAGAAACCATTGAGCAACATACTTTGCAAAACTACTTGAATCAAATATTAATAGAAAATCTGCAATGTCATCATCTTAAATGTTAAGTAGAAATTTTTAAAACACATTCTCCATATTAAACTTGCTCAATCAAAATTTTACTAAGATTTAATAATATTTTAAAACTTTGGCCTAATAATAGGGTAAGAAATATAATGGTAGGTCTTTACTTGATGGTACCTTTTTAGACAAAGGGATTAGAGTTCATAATTCATCTTGAATGTGATATAGTAAGCACTCAATGGGACATACTCTTAAAGTTATTTAAGTTGACTCCAACCCAATTACTCCAAAAGGTCGAAAATGTCACTTGTGAAAAATATACACAAAATACATGTGGAATTTTCAAAGAAACATTGAAATCAATTACTATTTTCTATTGAATTGTTAAAAGTTAAATTAAAAAAATTAAAACTATGAGAATTTTACATATTACTATAAAATTTTTGTAAAACATATTCTTTACTCATTTTTGTAGTCCCTATCACTGTGTTTATATCAAAACATTCTTTCCCTAACTTAAAATATAAAACAATTGGACAGGTATGGTGGTTTATGCCTGTAATATGGCACTTTGAGAGGCTGAGATAGGTGGATTGCTTGAGTCCAGGAGTTTGAGACCAGCCTGGGTAACATGGTGACACCTCGTCTATACTAAAAATATTAAATTTAGCCAGGCATGGTGGCATGTGCCTGTAGTTACAGCTACCTGGGTGGTTGAGGTGGGAGGATCACTTGAGCCTGGGAGGTGGAGGTTGCAGTGAGCCAAGACTGTGCTACTGCACTCCAGCCTAGGTGACAAAATGAGACTTTGTCTCAAAAATACATATGTATATTTAAGGAACAGTATAGGATAACACTGTTTAATGGCATTACTATTATTCAGCATAGAAAATGCACTAAATGAGAAAACATTAAATATAAAACAGATTTTGCTAGTGCCAAATTTTATCGAAGTCCACTTGCTTGCCAAATTTTAAAATTTGCACATATAAATAGATTGATGTCTTTGTCCATTATATTGTCACATTTTATTTCAGATTGTGTTTCAAATGCATTTTATCATATTATTTACTTTTTTAAAAGAATAAAAAAGTGATATATTTAAGTACCTATGTGTGGTAAAATAAATTATTGTTCTACTCAGAAGGCTAGATTACTCTATTTTGAATCAGGATTTCTTTTCATACTGGTATCAGAGAGGGTCAGTTGATCATTAATCAATTTTTTCTAAATAAAAATTAATGCCCATAAATTTTTTATAAATTGAGTAACATTTTAAGTGCATGAAGTGAGCCTGTGTTTAAAGATATCAAGAGACAGTGTAAAAATGCCAGCCTACAGAACTGCCTTTCATTACATGTTTTCCAACCTTGCTTTTTTTTTTTTTTTTTTCAAAGCAGAACATCACAGAACTTCCTCCAAAGACACAATTTGAATCTGATCTATGAAAGTGACTAGGTAATCATTATGAGAAAACAGATAACTTTCTTCCTTTCATCTGGAGAAATTATATTCTAAGAATTAATGACTATTCTCATCACTTTGACATCTCAAAACCAAATGTGTTTATTTATTTATTAACTACTTTAAGGTTCAGGGATACATGTGCAGTCTTGTTATATAGGTAAACTGTATGTCATGGGAGTATGGCGCACAGATTATTTCATTATCTAGGTAATAAGCATAGTACCTGACAGGTAGTTTTTTGATCCTCACCCTCCTCCCACATTTTACCCTCAGGCAGGCCCTGATGTCTGCTGTTCCTTTCTTTGTGTTCATATGTACTCATGTCAAAACCAAATTTAGTTATCCAGTAAATCTCATGTAACTCTGTATCTAGATGTTAGATCTGCATTTTTGTTAGTTATACCCTATTTCAAGATTCGTTGATATCATGAGACTTAAAATGGTAGTAAGGCTAAATAATCTACTTTTTCATTTTAGTTTTATAAGTCCAAAGGATAAAGCAGACACTAAAGTATATGAAATATGAATACCTTATGACCTGCAAACCCACTTCTAAGGATATATCCAACAGAAATGTGTAATTACTGTTTGGCGAAATGGTCACCAAAAGTCAAATACTGAAATGTGTATAGCAGTGTGACTTATAATAGCCAAACTCCAGAAACAACCTAAATATCCATAGTAGTCAAATAAGTAATAATGGTATATTCACATAATGAAATACTACACTGCAATGAGAATGAATAAACTATCATTTCAGACAATAGCATAAATGACTCTCATAATCACAACATTGAATGGAAGAAGGCAGCCACGAATGAGGACACATTGAATGATTCCAATTATATGAAGTTTGAAAGCAGGCAAAACTATATGTCAGAAACCAGGATAGTGTTTACCCTTAGAGGATGGGTTAAGTGAGGCACCAGGAGGGCTTCTGGGGAATTATTAATATTCTGCTTCTTGATATGAAGGATCGTCACAGAGTGTATTCACTTTGTGAAAGTTCATTGAGCTATATACTTATGATTTGTGCACCTTCTGGATCCATACTTCAATTAAAAAGTTTACTCACAAAGAGTATGAAGAGAGGAGAAAAGAAAAAGTAAGAGAAAAGTAAGAGAAAAGAAATAACAACAAAAAATGAAACTCATTTCTTGCCAGATACTGACCTGATAACAAGATCCTGTTTTTCCACCAAGAAGCCCAGCTTCTCTTCTTGTTTACAAATGTCTATGCTAACAGGATTGATATTATATTTCTTCCTTAACTGTTCAATTTGATTCCTCATGTCAGAGCCTATTTCAAGAAATAAAAGTCACATTTTTAGATATGTCAAAGTAAAATATATTTTAACATCTCCAAAAATAAACTTTCAAATTTTAGAAGCTAAGTAGTCTTCTAAAATTTAGAAATCAACATGTTATAAAATATATTTTTCTTCTTCAAAAACTAGGGCATATTTACCTACTGTTATTTCTATATTGTCATCTCTTGATAAATATTCTAGTACGGGCTCAGATACATAGCCAGATCCAAGAACCAAAACCTTTTTCCTGGTGCCCATCGAAAGTGACTGAGCACGTTCTCTGTTAAAATAAAATAAAGTAAAAAGAAGAGAAGGGACTAATTAAAATTTTATTGTTTTTAAACAACGTAATCTTGCTGTCCTCTAACCATACTAAAACCTAGATAATGAAGCAACAATTTCTCTCCACATTACTTAAAATAAGAATCTCAATATGAATGAGTCCCCTATACCAACATATTTCTTTAATTATTTTACATTTTGTCCAATGAAGAGCAATAGACTTGACATCTCTGAGATGTATACCTAGAGATGTATACATGTATTTCATGAATCCCCAGTATTACTAATAAAGTACAGATGCTGGACCTTTTCTTGGCTTACTTATGATTGAGTAACTTGGTCTCATATTTTATCCTTCCAGAAGATGTGATTCAAAATCATGCTAGGGGCTTTATCTTAGAAGCTGTATTTATTCCTCACCACAATCCCAGAAGACAACACTTTGAGGAAGGGATTATTATTATTCATCATTGTTTTGTCACATATCTTTAGGGTCACTTGAAAATAGTCAAAACCATGACTTTGAATCACAAATGTCATGGGTTAAATATAGAAACCAAAGACTAGTGTTAGATATTATTTTAATTCTTGAACAGTTTATTCTGCTGGATTTTTATTAATATGTTCTGGACAGATGACTTTCTTTCCCACTAACTATGACCTCAAAGGCAGCATCTAAGACTTACCCATCTTTACAAGCCCATTAATGTTCAGCACACTTTGTCTTAAATATGGAATTTAATCATTAAATATTTTTTGAATCAAATTCTCCGATATCAACACGAAACTATGTAAAAGGTCTGGTGCCTGGGACTGAAGTACGCTCTGTTATTTAGACTCTTTAGTCTCTTTTAATGTCTCTCGAATGTTAACTCACAAACATTTTCATTAATTTTAAATAAATTTAAAAAAAATAAGTATAAAAGATCCTGTCCCTCTATACCCCCAACATACATACTACTGATGTGAAGAGGTCTCCTTTAACTAGTACCATTCTCCCATTTCACCTACCAAAGAGAGCCACTATTATTTGGTTATTATATATTCTGTCTAACAATATTTTCTATCATTTGTATAATTAAAACAATATTTTGATGTCCAAATACCAAACACTCAAAACACTCACTCACTTCTAGATTCTAATACTGTCCAGCCCATCAGTATCCCCAGACCCCAGACTCCAGGTTAATAATCACTATGCTAAGTAATGAAAAGAACAGAAGAATAAGGCAGGGTTCAATACACAGTAAATTTGCTTTCAAAATGCAACCTTTGCTATCAGTATATTGGCACAAGATTCCATCAGAGAAAGAGGGCAGCAAGTCCTAGCAACTGGAGCCAAGTAAACCTGCTGCTACATGAAATATGACACATAAGACAGAAGATACCATCACGATCAGTCATGTTGGACATGTCATTAGTATCAGTAATATAAAAGATCATCAGATAATGAGAATCAAAACAGAGCTATGAAAAACAAACATATGAAGTTTTACCCGTAAGAAACTCTCCTATAGGGTTATAGAGCTAGCTTCTCTTAAAAAAGAAAAAAAAAACAATTAAATACTTAGTGTTTGATGCCAGAATATTTCACTGACACATTCAAAAGTAACTATAATCGATCAGGCGTGGTGGCTTACGCCTGTAATCCCAGCACTTTGGGAGGCCATGGGGGGTGGATCACCTGGGGTCAGGAGTTTGCAGCCAGCCTGGCCAACATAGTGAAACCCCGTCTCTACTAAAAACATAAAAATTAGCTGGGTGTGGTGGTGGGCACCTGTAATCCCAGCTACTTAGGAGGCTGAGGTGGGAGAATCACTTGAACCCAGGAGTTGGAAGTTGCAGTGAGCCAAGACCACGCCATTGCACTTTAGCCTGGGCAACAAGAGTGAAACTCTATCTCAAAAAAAATTAAAAACTTTAAAAAAATAAAGTAAAAGTAACTATAATCACACCAGCACATATGGAAAAGTCCTAAGTATAGTAGGCTTGATCTGGGCAGATCTCTTTGTTTACTGCTTGTAGGTAGAACCACTGAAAAAGACAGTAAGACAATTGTGTTGTGTTGTTTTGTTTCCCTAACTCTGGTTTCTCCTGAGACTTCAATGGGTTCCTTTTTTAACGTGAATAGACCAGCAGAGTAGATATAAACATAGATCAAGGACAATCAGCTGGAGGAGACTGGAACATTCCAAAAAAATAAAATCAACGTTTTCAAACTTTAAATAGTAAAATCAATTAAGGAAACAAGGGCCTTAGCTAAAGACCTTTCTAAGGTAACTATTCTCTTGAGTAGATTTGCTACATTACTTTTTGGCATCTTCCCCCTAATAAGAATCCCTGGAGAAAACTACCTCTTATTTTCATCAATTGTTTATTCACTACTCTCTTAATTTGTAACCACGAATTCACTTTCCTAAACATTATATTAAACAAAAGAGAGTCCAAACCCTCAACTGAAACCCAAACTGAAAGCACCACGGAAAGGTTAGTGTGCTTATTTTCCTTTTGAAAAAATAACCGAGGCATGACCATGCATAAAAGCTGGAGAAAGAACAAGAAGCTACCTGAAGGGCAATCCTTTTGGATTTTTGCTTGCTTACCCACACATCTACATAGGATATTAGAAAGCCAAAATTATGCTATACTACTGTTTAGGGGGAAACAGCCACAGTGGTTTCAGCCGGCCACTTAGTTTGGATTTCCTACATTTTCAAACATTATCAAAATTTATATATTGCACAAACTTAATATTAAGAACTCTCATTAAAGCATTAAAAACACTCATCAATTCCCAGATTAAAGCATTAAAAACACTCATCAATTCCCAGATAAGAATAAATGTATAAAACAAGAGAATGTGATCAATACTTACCTGCTTTCCCGGAGTTTCTGGATATATTTATATTTATCAGGTAATGTACCGTTGGATGTAATCACTGCCTAAATGTATATGACACAAGACATTTTAGTATTTACATTTTAGTCCTACAAACATGGTCTCATGACTGACAGAGAAGAGACAGAATGGCAAAGATGGAGAGAGGGAGAAAGACAGAGAGAGGAGAGCAAAAATGGTAGTAGAAAAAATACATTTATGAAAAAGATATTCTTGTAACTTACATCTCTCACCACAGGAGAAAAATTTTGACTTTCAAGAGGCTGTGTCGCATCTGATAATATCTGAAAGAAAAATGAGATTTATAAGAAGGCCTCTTGGTGCTTGTATCCATATTAAAATATTAATCAGGGGAAAAATAATTTAAGAAATAGTTTTCTAAGTATCACCGAGATTGGTAATAGAAGTCTTCTACAAGCAATCAACTCTGCCCTCAGGAGCGATGTTTCAGCACAAGTTCCAATTTTAAAACTAATATTGGATTATAATCATCTTTGCTTGCTGTGAACACAAAAAAGCTTATCCTTTCCAACCAGTTAAATGTATCCTATTAAGCATGTTGTCAAATATCTTCACAAGCTTTAGAGCTACAGTCCTCCCTTCAAGGGCCTGTGCCCGATTCCACAAGTTCAATCTGTTCTATTAGGAGTAAAGAATGAGGCTTTTCCACTCAGCAAGGCCACCACTTCTGCAGTAAGGGGTCTCCCTCAAATCAGTATTAGTAGCTATATGTATAGGCACATCAGCATTTCAACAGTAGTAGCCAAAGTGACTTGACCAAGTAGACCTTGAAAGTCATTCACACTCTCTTCACATTATCTTGCAAAATTGAGTCAAAGAGACAACACAAAAAGTAAGATGTCTCATATTAACATATCAGCAACCTTCTAGTCATCCTCTTTTCTCCCAAGGAATCCAACTCTTGAATACACTGCCAAAAAGTAATGGGCATATAAGTTATTCCCTCTCAAGGGACCCAATTCTTGAATATACTGTCAAGAAATAATGGGAATATAAATCAGCATTGCTGCTTCTGGTGAACAGTGAAGGGCCAATGAGACAATCTTTCCTCCCTAACTATAGGTTAAGATCTAGCTCACTCAGCCAACTAAGAACAAGAAAAATGTACCTAGAAGGTGCTGGTAACAGAATTTATTTATTGTATTAAAATAAATAGAAAATTGCTTTCATGTATCTAAAGCATAATACATTCTAAAATAAATGGTCATTTGTAAAAGGTCAGTTCTCCAAAGAACTGAAACCTAGATTTCAATTACTTCATCCTAACTGAATTTAGATGAATTTCTCCTAACCTTTATCCTTGTCTATTTCCCTACCCAAAACAAAGAATATATTATCTGGAGGAAAATCACATAACATCCTCTAATTGTCATTTGAATATGCAATGTCTAGTATTCAACCAAAAATAAATAAATATATTGAAAAATAAGAATTTACTGAAAACCATAAAAACCAAGGAAAACAACAGGGAACATAAATAGAACCAAGAAGTGTATTGGATTTCACAAAAATAAGTCTAAATTGTGATTAATATGTTCAAAAAATAAAAGAACAATATAGATTTTTTTAAAAAAACAAAAAACCTTTAAAATAAATAAATATAAATTTTTGATAAATGAAAAATAACATGTTTCAAGTCTTGGAAGACATGAATATCCAGATACATGAAGCTCAACAATCTTCAAACAGTCAACCCAAAGATGTCTCCTCTGAGGTACATTATAATCAGCTGTCAAAATGAAAGACAAATGTATATTAAAAGTAGCAAGATAAAAATATCATGTTACATGTAAGGGCATCTCCATTAGACTATCAGCAGATTTCTCAGTAGAAATCCTGCAGGCCAGGAGAGAATGGGATGATCTCTTCAAAGTGCTAATGCACAGAAAACTGTCAGTCAAAAATGTTATACACAGCAAAGCACTCCTTCAGAAGAAAAGAAAAAATAAAGTCTTTCCCAGAAAAGAAAAAGTTTAGGGAATTCCTCACTACTAGAGCGGCTCTATAAAAATGTTTAAGGAAGTTTTTCAAGTAGAAAAAAAGAACATTACTAATATGAAAACATGTAAAAGTACAAAATTAACTGGTAAAGGTAGATATATAATCAAATCCAGAATACCCCAATATTGCTATGGCACTCTGCAAATTATATGTATACATAACCCTAGGATGAAGGTTAAAATTCAAAACAGTCAAAAATAATGATCGCTACAATAAAGTATTAAGAAATAAGTAATTTAAAAAGATGTAAATTGTGACATTAAAAAATATTAACTGGTTGCACCCAATTCAGAAAGGTAAAAAAGAAATATATATATGTACATATGAATATAAAATTATATATATGCTATAAGCATATATACACACATGCTGGCAGGAGGGTAGAAGTCTAGAGTTTTTGCATGCAACTGAATTTAAGATGTTATTAGTATAAAGTAGTCTATTATAACTATGTTTTATGTAAGCCTTGTGGTAACCACAAAGCAAAATACTAAAGCAGATATACAATGATAAAGATAAAAGAACAAAAATTTAGCACTAAAGGAAATCACTAAATCACAATGATAAACAGGAGAGGAAGAAAAAACAAATAAGCTACAAAACAATCAGAAAACAATTAACAAAATGGCAGTAGTTAAGTCCTTAACATATCAATAATTACTAATGATCCACAAATAGAAATTCCATTTGACCCAGCAATCCCATCACTGGGTATATACCCAAAGAACTATAAATCATTCTACTATAAAGACACATGAACACGTATGTTCATTGCAGCCATGTGTACAATAGCAAAGACCTGGAACCAACCCAAATGCCCATCAATGATAGACTGGGCAAAGAAAATGTGGTACATATACACCATGGAATACTACACAGCCATAAAAAATGATGAGTTCATGTCCTTTGTAGGGACTTGGATGAATCTGGAAACCATCATTCTCAGCAAACTGACACA